TATAATGTGTATATGTTTTGTGTGTGTAAAATGAAAAAATGTATGTATATTTATAAAAAAATGGTGCAATATATATAAAAAAGAAATATATAAAAAAAAAAATAAAAAAAAAAAATTTAATATTTACTAAAAATTTAAAGAGAAATTTTAATAAATAATTTTTTTTATTAAATTCCTCATATATAAAATAAAAATAATAAGATTATTTAATGATTATTATCACCATTATCAAACTCTGACTAATCATTCTAATTGTCTTGATTAACTATATATTGATTTGATATATTTCTAAATAATATTTTATCTCACACACCTAAATAATGATATATAAAAGAAGAGAAAAAATAAAATGAAAAAGAAAATAAATATTATGAGGAAAATAAAAGAGTAAGCGCTAAAAGAAATAATAATAATAGTTGTAGATTTGATTTAATTAAATTGTTGTTGCTTTGTCAATTGATTGATCTTTGAATGCATATGAGTACGTGAATGTGTGTGAGTTTGTGTATTATGTTGTATAAAAGCGTTTTATGTGAGTATATGAATGAGTAGTTGTGTATAAAAAATATAATAATAATAGTAAGATGATATGTAAAAGGGTAATTGGAAAATAAAAAGGGGAAAATGTACAAATGAAGTGCGAGTAAAAAAAATTTATTTATTTATATATATAATAGTTGTATTAAGGGGAAAGAAAAGCAAAAAAAAATATAATAAAGTTATTAGGATTGAAATAAGATTAATCCCAATAATCCCAATAGTCATTGTCATAATTAATCATTAATAATAATAAATAAGCATGTTTTAAATTAATGTTTCTCTATGCAAGCAATATCAACCAGGATTTGCGCTGCCTGTTGAATTATCATAATTAGTGATGATTGATATAATTTGTTGTGATGGAGATAGTTTTTTTGTTGTTTAATATTTTGTTGGGAAAGATGATGATCAATAAATAAAAATTTTGTTAGTAAAAATTCATTAATTAAATCAAATAACAACAATATTATAAAGATAACTAATCAATTGATTATCATTATTATATTAATAAGTTACCTCCATCATTTGAACTTGTTGATGTTTCGTCAAGTTAAATTTGAGACAAAGATCCCAACTTTCATGATGTTCCCATAAGTGCTTTTTAATTATTAATAATAAAGCGATGTTAATGTTTTGTAAATATGAAATGCTTATAATTCACCATCATCGTCACATGATAAGATGTTACAATTACCTTAACCAAACAATTTCTATGTTTATAGTTTTTACCACAATTGTTACAAGTATATGACGTTTTTGATGAAACAGTAGATGGTGGAGGACTATTACCACCTTCTTCGCTTTGGCTATCAACGGGAGTTACTATTTGGTTATTTTCTTCATATTTTATTGTTAATTCAGAGTTACGATGACGATGATGGTCACTAATCACTTCCTCCGTCACTGCTAAATGAAAGAATAGAATAAAATGTCAAAAAATGAAAACATAACAAGTAATATGTATATATGTATGTATGTGTATACATAAATATATCTATATATTATATTCATCAAATTATTGTTATTGTTATTGTAAAGCAGTGGGGAGGAAATACTTACCATCAGTCGAGTAATAGTTTGCACCTTTAGAGTATTTATTTCTGTTAGAAGCGGCCGATGTATTGTTAGTTCTTGTTGTGTTAGTAGTATTGGTAAAAGGACTCATTTTGTTATTGTTGTCAAGTTGTCTGTTTTTGTTTTTTTAAAGATATATATAGATGAAGGTTTACGAACGAAGAAAAAATAAATAAGAGTATTTTTTTTGTTTGTTGGTTGTTGTTATGAAAAAAATAATAAAATAATAAGTGGTTTGTTTTTTTGTTGTGATAAAAAAAAAGATTATTTGTTCTGATGAAAAAATAATTTTTTTTTGCTAAAAAGATAGATTAAAAAAATTTTTTTTTAAAATAAAAAATCATGATAAAAATTTTTTTTTCTCCACCTTTTTATAAAAATTTTGGCGTAAAAAAATTTTTTTTTTTCAATAATAAAATATATATAAAAAAAAACTATCAAACTATATATAATTAAGAATAACGATAATTAGATAATTAAGCTTTATTAACTCATCAAATCAAATCAACTATTGGTAAAATCCAAATGTATTTTCCCCAGAATACCTTTATAAAAAATCAAAGAAATTAAATTAATGAGTTTTCTCCAATAATGAATATGACTATATACCATGTACCATATACCGTATCTAATATCTACTACACCCCACCATATCCCTACAATTAATAATAAACACTTACGTTATATATAAGAATCCATCATCATCTTTATGTTCTTCATAAATACTTGACATAAGTGCAGCTGTTGGTGGAAGAACTTCATCAACAAAAATAAAAATTGCCTTCTCCGGGCTCAACTTGATACGTTTACGAATCACATAAACAAATTGTCCAACTGTTAAATCTGCTGGAACTAAATATTTTTTTTTATCGATTGTTGCAATATCTGATTTTTCTACTTTTTCGCATATAACCTAATTAATTAATAAGACGATGTGAGATGTTTGTTTTTTTAGCTACTTGGAAATTTTTATTTATTGTATTTATTATCATCATCATATATTTATTGACTTACCGGAATCCTATCAGGATATTTTTGTCTAATCCTTTCAGCTTCGGCTTTACGTTTTTCTATTTAAATATATATATATATATATATATGAATTTTTTAATAAGAATAAATATTTAAACTTTTCTACAAACAAACATATTTAAATGATTTAACCAATATTATCTTTTACAAATGGTTTAACATACACATACCAAAGAGATGTTCATCTTTGAATTTTGACCTCATTTTTGAATTATTGTTTATTATTATTTATAATTTAAGAAAAAAACCAAGTTTTAACACACGTTTTTAGAAAAATATCAACAATTTTTATTAAAGAAATGTTTTTGTTAATACAACGATGTCTATATTGTTGTTAATGGGAAAATTTTTTTTGAAGAAGAGAGTGAGAATAATAAATGGGGGCTGGAAAAATAAAACTTGTATATATATAGGAAAAATAATAATAACAATATAAATCAGGAGAATTGTTGATGATTACGCACTATCATCATCATATATATATACTAATTCTAATTTTTATTGATGTATGCTGCGTGCATCAGGAGGGAAAAGTGAGAGTTACACATGTCGTTTCAAGTCACTAACACATACATGTGTACTACTTGATCAATTAAATTAAAAAATTTTATTTTTTTATTTTACGAATAAGTTATAAAAAATGAATTAAAAAAAAACGGATGAAAAAAATGATTAAATGTATTAAAAAATTATGATTAAAAAAAATGCATTATTTAAATTATTTAATTTTGGTTGTAAAAAAAAATTATAAATTATAGTTTACATGAATGATTAAAATCATATTTATATATTTATATATATATTCTTTTGACTCCGTTGGAAAAAAATCATATTTTAACAATATCTTCCTCCAATAAAATCTGACCAACTTTTAACTTCATTTGGTATTTTACCATCAACTAGTCCACTAAATTCAATTCTTTTTCTCTGTGTGTATATAGAGTATCACAACAATCCAAGAAGAGTACAGCAGTACCACAAGCTAGAACTTTTGATATAAAATTTCATACAAAAAATGGCACGGAGTATCAATTCTCCAGCATCAATCGGTATAGTTATTTAATTTACATATATGTTGTGTGTGAGAATTAAATCAACCAATCAATAGAGGGAATCTCGCACCCAAACTCTTCCATTTTTGATTATTATTATAAAATTTCAAATCCACGCAATTCATTTTTTCACTTACGACATATTAATTAATGCAGTAATTAATGTGATTTTGGTTTTTTTTTTTTCATAATAGACAAGAATTTGAAAATTTATTTAAATTTTTAAAAGAAAAGAATATTCATACAATTATTGAATCACCTGATGAAGTATTTATGATAATAATAATAATAACATTGAATTTATAAAATTATTTATAAGGTTATAATAAATGTTTACTAATATATGTATACATGTATTTTTAGGGCACAGTCAGTTATGCTGAACTTATTAATGAAATTGGTGACTCAGATGATGATGAAGTGATGCCATCTGGTAAAAATAGATCAACTGATAAAATGGATGTTGACGATGAAGATGAAGATGATTCAGGTATAATTGAATATTAATGAAAGATGATTTATAAAAAATTTTTCTTGTAAAATAAACATTTCCAAATAATAACTTTATAGTCGATGAAGATTTTGAAGACTTTGAAGAAAGTGATGTGACTGAAGAATATGAAGAAAATCCTTGATTTTTTTTCGATGCAGATTAAGATTAAGCCTAATTTTAATTTTGAATTTACAATAAATAAATATATTATATTATAATTTTACAAAAAAATAATTGATTGTTCTTATTATATAGTCTATATTAATATAATTCGATCATCTTTTTTCTTTCTGTATATTCTAAATAATAAATATATTATTTAGTATCAATAAAGGGAGAAATGAACGACTATAAATATCACCTAAAATTTTTTACACAGGTTTTATATTCAACATCTAAGTGCCTAATCGTTTCATCATATTCTTCTAAACTTATCTCCATGATTGATGAGAGATAAGATTTAATAATTTCTATTGAATCAGTCAGAACCTGTCTCACCTATATAATCAAATAATAAAGATTATTTATTCGCCATCATAAAAGCATTATATTAATTTATTAAAATTACCACTACAAAATAATATATTTTACCATTTCACCAACCACACCATGACCACCTAACGTAGAATTTTTAATTTGATGACTAATTTCAATTATTTTATCTGTAGTTATTAATTTTTCTTCGATAGATTTATGAATTGATCCATCTATTATATCTCATGATTTGTGCTATTAAATAGCCTGATAACATTAAGCAGCTTATTAAATGGTTCTTTACAGTGATAAATTTTGTTGTCACTGGACCCTTAGAAGATGGCATGGGTTCATTTTCCTAATAATAATAATGAATAATAATCATATAAACATATTCTCTTTATCACATCATAATATAACCCATTATTATATTTATTAATAATTCAATCCAACACCATTGATCAATTGTTAGTGAGCTTGACATATTTTTTGATGAACAAATCAAAAGTATCATTTGGAAAAGGTAAACCATTAAATATATTATGTCCAATTATAACCAGATTTGTTGGTGATTCTTTTTTAAAATCATTCAAATCAATTACTATATCAATTCCAACAAATGATGATTAGAGGTTGGAGTTACTAAAATAGTCGACTAATTAGTCAACTACTAATACTACTAATACTACTAATACTAATACTAATGCTAATATTAATACTATGCTAATATTATTATTGTCTGACCAATTACGAGTTTTATGTTTTATCATTCAAAATGGAAAATTTCTATGTGGAAGAGTATCAATACCATCGATATGATGATGATGACGACAATGGTGGTGATAATTTTACATGTGTACTAATAAACACTTCCGATACAAGGTCCAATAGTTCATTGGCTTCAAGTTCCAATGATTTAAGCGGTGGTTCCAGAAGACCTTTTAAAAAAACGAATCGCAACACATGGTTTTGTGTGGAAGTATTTTGAAAAAGTGAAGATTCAAATGGAAATGAATTCGTAATTTGCAAATTAAAAAAAAAAAAATAAGAAATATTATTATTAAAAAAAATTTTTAGTCGACTAAGGATTTTTTTTTTTGGACGATTCCAACCAACCTCTAATGATGATTTGGAAATTCCTCTGCCAGGTCCACATCAAGGGATTATTAGATTGTCATAGGAGAAGTTTGATGATTTAATTAAATATCATTAAAATCAATCAATTTGCCCAATATTACAAATGCACCACCATTCTCTAATATTCCTTTCACAGGAGAAGAAAATTTACCATTCCGTAAATGTTGTGATAAATTTCTAAAATTTCTAATCTAGACATTTACTATAAAAATAACATAAAGCTTTAGAAAGTCTAGGTGAATTAATAAATAATTAACTTACAATTTACCTTGTGATAAATGCGCAATAAATTTTCTACCATCAATAATCTCGAATGTCAAATCATCATAATCATCAACATCTTGTTATCATAAAATTTTTTTATTGCAATACTTCTAACAGATGGGAATTTTTGCAATGCATTGACATGACATCAAACAAAAAAAATTGTTTTTATTTTCAAGCATCGTCATTCGTCATATTATAAATAATTAATAATTTTAAAATCCAAAATTAGAACTATTTTTATTGACCAGAAAATAGAAATTAGAATCGAAAGCATTTAAACGTTTGAATTTGATTTCCACAATTCATAATTAATTAATTCATAAAATTAATTAGACGTGCTGAAATATTAGTCAATCAAACAAGCAACTACTATCTTGGCCGGATTGTAATCTTTAGAACCTTCTTTCACTATATTGACGTTAACTGAATTAGAAAATAATAATTATGCGAATGATTATTCTGACAAAATTCTTTGGTATGGAATATATATTACAATACTTAAATTAAATGTTAATTAGGCAGATTAGGGGATGCCTGACCCCTCGTGTATGAAGCATTTACTATGATTAACCTTTGAATTGGTTAACATAATAATATATAATGTATAATTTCAGCTTCTATAAAAATTATGGGCACATATAATAATGCCCATATATAATTAAAATTATCAAATAAATTCTTGATAATCTATTTTTTTTAGTCAGTCTTTAAACATTATTTGTGAGCGTAGATGGTGCCAAAGCTTCCCTACTTCCTCCTCTATATTCTTGATAAAATATTAAAGAATTACTTTATTTTTACTAATCTATATACTTCATACTCTTCTAATAAGTGTACAGTCTGTTTATTATTTCTAAGATTCAAATTATTTTCATAAGAATTCAAAAAAGAATAAAAACAATAAGGTTGATTGCTAAAACTTTTATAAAACCGTAAATCATTAAAATGTATACCACTTTCATAAAATTGAATATTATCTGTAGTAATGTTAAAATATTGGTTATCATGGAATATTGCAAATTTAGGTTTTACAACTCTACTTAATATTAAATTTTTTATTTGATTTTCATCAATCTTGAAAATAAAACTTTTATCAGTATCAATTGAATAATAATCATTTGGAGGCCTTCCTTTTATATTCCAACAAACTGGATTGTAGCCACCAACCAATTCACCTGTTTCTTTAATTTTCATGATTGTTATAGTTTGTTTGATATTGTAACATCTATCCTCAAATGCTGACCTAGTAAATCCATCCCTAGTTCCGCTATAAATTAATTTAAATTCATATTGTGGATCATTCTTGTTGTATATATTTATTTTCCAATCAATCCAGTTAGAAATTAAAAACTTCGATTTTAAATTTAAAAGTTTTCCTTTTATTGCTCTTGGACCTTTTTGAACCAGTATGTTTGGTTTCCATTTATCAGTAAGATGATATTGAAGGATTTCTTCATACACTTCTTTATTAAAAGCTTTTTTAAATGGTGAAATTTTATAATAAAAATCACTTGAAGAAATTTCATTGAACCTTATTAATGGGATGATATCCTTTAATATATTTTTTAACTCTATGAAATCATCTTTTTTCCACTCTGAAATATCTTTATCCAATTTTTCATTTTGTCCCATTCCCCATTGTATAATATAATCCCAAATATCAATTTCATCTAGTCTTAAATTATCTCTTTTCAATATAGAGATAAGCATTAATTCTTCTATTGTTGAAATATCACTAGACTTTAAAAATAATTCTGGTTCATTACAAATTAATTCACTACAGTAATCTTGAAGTAGATTAAATAATTGATGCCTTGATGAAATTTTATGAGCATAGATTAAATTTTGTTGAATCCATTCTTTTTCTTCTACAATTAAGTAACTTTGTAAATCCTCAATCAATTCATTAAAGTTTAATTCATCACTTGCTTCAAGAAGTTCAATAATTTCATTTGGATCCAAATCATCTATATTGATAATTCCATTATAAATATATCTTTTTTTTAAAAAAAAAATTTAAAGTTAATTTTTAAAATAAACCATGATTAATTAATTAATTAATTATTCAAATTCTTACTTTAAAAGAACTTCAAATATTTTTGGAGAAATATTTTTTTTTTCAAATAAAATAATTCCATCTTCAGATTTTTTCATCCAATTATTTGATAATGCTGCTTTAAAATATGAAGATCTTGCTTTCAAAATATTGGAATGAGCTTTAAAAGTTTTAACAACGACAAAATCATCATCATCATCATCATCATCATCATCATCATCATCATTAACATCAACATCAGCTTCGGCATCTCCAACTTTAATTTCTACATCATAGAAATCTGATTCATTCAACAAATCGGCTAAATCATTCACAAGCTTATTAAGATATTTTAATGGTAAAGAATCTTGATTAGGATTTAAAATATTATTAAATAATAAACTATTAGGCATTTTGAAGAATTTTTATATATTAAAAAATTTGAAAGATTTAAAAGAGTGAGAAAGAAATTGTTATAAAGCGGTGCAACTGTTTTTTGTTTTATATCTTTTATATCATTTTAATTTTTATTATTTTGAAAAATTGAAGTTTCACACGCAATTAAAAAATTGCTATACATAGTAATCACAAGATTTTTCATAGCAAATGCATGAGTCATTGGGGTGTCTCACATCATATGATTTACAAACATAGTTGATCACATATATAAATTTTCATTAATAAGGATTTTTTAGGGTTTTGCGGATTTATTATTATTTTTTTGATGCCACAAAAAAAATTTTTAAATTTATTATACAAATTAGCAAACTTCGCAAAATTACAAAACTCAAAATAACAGTGAACCCTCCCTAAATGCACGCACTATGTATACCCTCCATAAATGCACAGCCCATCTCATCTCCAAACTTATAGAGAGCTTATAAAATCACCCTCCATAAATGCACACTCACAAGAAATAGCACTATGTTCCCGAGGGGGGGTGCACTTATAGATGGTTCACTGTATATGTTATATTCCAATAAAAATTTATGTTTAGATTCACTTTTTGATGCTCTTTAAACTAATAGAGAGCTTTTTACAATTTGCATAAAATTTTGTAACATATATTCGCAACTTTTACTTTGATTTTCTAGCTTAAAATAAATGCCATTGTTTATATTAAAATAAAAAAAGGGCTCTATTACTTTATTGTCTTATTTCTCTAGTATGTTTTAAACTTAACTCGGAGCCAGTATCTCTATTCTTTAAAAAGTTATAATCATTCAAAG